ATCTGAATATGAAGTCATGCACTGTTCGTGGGAAAATTGAGAAAATAGCCACTCACATCTTTTTTCTCTAGGGTTGAATTTCCAGAAACCTGGTTAAGGAAAAAATTAACCATTCAAGTTCCTAATCTAGATGAAACTCCCAAATTCAACTAATCCAAACTCAAAACTACAAGTCAAAAATTGTGCATTAAGTTCCTTAATGGTCAGGACTGTCACATGCCAATCTATAGGACACTGTATCTGAATAGACTAAAGATAACCAAAACTCCCCTCTAGATTTTGAAAATAACTTACTTCACATATAACCTTTTTAGGATCAGAGCTTTCATTCATTTTAAACACAGAAAGTTCTCAATATTAACCAATGCTATTATCTCCCCCCCAAAAAAAAGAGAAAACTGGTTTTTTTAATCAAAATATTAAAAACTATAGCCAGGCACCAGTGGCTCACGCCTATAATCCTAGCTACTCAGGAGGCTGAGCTCTCAAGATCATGGTTCAGAGCCAGTCGGGGCAGGAAAGTTTATGAAACTCTTATCTCCAATTAACCACCAGAAAAAGCTGGAAGTGGTCCTGTGGCTTAAGTGGTAGAGCACTCACCTTGAGCTGAAGAGCTCAGGGGAACTGCTCAGGCCCAGACACAAAAATTAAAATAAAAAAAAATACATATTGCCAAGCTCACTGGTAATCACAACTACTTGGTAAAACAAAAAGGGAAGAATTGTGGCTTGAGGCCAGCTTGGGCAGAAAGTTCATGAGAGCCCCTTCTCAACTCACAGCCTGGAGCAGTGACACAGGCCTGTCAAACAACAAGGGAGGCTGAGATTGTCAGCATCGGATTCTTGGCCAGGGTGGGGAGAAGGGTCCATAAGACTTTATCTCCATCACAGGAAAGCTAGATATGGTGGAACACGCCTATGAATAGGAAGCCCTATGTGGCTCAGGTACATACAGGCAAGTTTACCCTGAAAATGGCAAGTGAAACAAACAGGACTGGCTGTTTCTTTCATTGGCTCTGAGATACCATGCCAGGTTAGCCAGTCAGAGGCCCTGAATTCAAATTATAATACCACCAGAAACCAAAAAATCATGAGACAAAATAGTATTCCCATAGCAAGATGTTTTAATCTCAGTACCAAAGAAAGTAAACAGCATTATACAACTATGTAAATTACTTATCTCTGTACAAATCCTGAGACTGACTTCTATCACTAGAAGATAGTTTATGCAAATTTCGACTTATCTACTCCTGTGCCTCATCCTCAGTATGAAGTAGTCTAATTTTGGGGAGGTGCTAATAGTTCTGTGAAGCTTGAACTTGGGACCCGGGTGCTGTCTCTGAGCCAAAGCACCACTTCTGGTTTTCTGGTGGTTAATTGAAGAGTCTCACAGATTTAACGGCCCCCTCTGGCTCTGAACCCTGATCCTTAGCTCTCAGCCTCCTGAGTAGCTAGGATTAAGGCATGAACTACCAGTGCACAGCCAGACCTTCTTATTTCTGGGCATTAGGACTAATCCTAGCTTGTGGTTACAGGAAAAAGTGTGTTTCCAAACACTAAGCTTCTCATCACAAGTATAGGTGAAAGTGTAAAACATGAACATCTGTCTCTAAGGACAAGATAGAGTCTTCAGGCAGATACTGTACAAGTCAACACAGAAAGCTGCTCTTCTTCACATGGTACTACACTAAACAGTTAGTTTATGAAGATGGCTACAAGTTCTCTTTCTCGTTCCCATCCTGTTTCCTCCTCCTTCATTTTCTCATCTAAGACTTACCTAGACGTTTCTGAAGTTATGATATAAAGTTGTCAGTTGATCTAAACCCAATTTCTTAGCAATAAAACATTTCTTAGAAACTTACGATGGTTCTGAGAAATTCTATCTAAAGTTGACCGTGAATAAAAGGAGGTAGAGTAAAAGTCCCAAAACATGAGGTGAAAAGAAACAAAAATGCATCAGCAAGAGACATTGGTAACAGCAGAAGAAAGACATGTCAGCTTTGGATCTGAGCAGGGTGAACAAGGGAAAGAGCTCCCAGCTATTGGCAGCCCTGGAGGGAGAGGTGGGGAACATTTTTCTCCTTGGTCTTAGGCCCCATTATTTGGCTGTGGCATTGATTACCTGCATTTAGGACCAGAAAAGTGAGCCCAGCTGAGCTCCCATGGGTTGCTATGAGGTCTAAGAATATTGTAACGGAAGCAGTAAGGATCTTGCCCTATTATCTAGCAAATGAACTACACACTACCCACATGCAGTTAAAGCCATTTCCTAATGTTTAAAAAAGCAGTATAACTTAAAGCTGTCGGGTGCCTCGAATACAAGAAAAGATTTAAGGCAACTGCTGTAAATAAAAGCAAGTATATGCTGTGTGCCACTGGCTCACACCTATAAAGCTGGCCACGCACACAGGAAGCTACAACCTGGAGGAGTAAGGTTCAAAGCCAGTCCACGTAGAAAAGTCTGACATACTACATCTTCAATTACCTAGCAAAAAGACAGCCTGGAGGCCTGGCTCCAATGGTATAACACAAGTTCAAGCCCCTGAACTGACAAAAAGGTAGAGGGGGAGACAAGGGAGGGAGATGGGGAGGAAGGGAGGGAGGCTCTAAAAAGAAGGAAACAAAACAAAGGTCCTGACAACAAAGAATTGAAGGAATGAAATAAAAATTATCAACACAGGCAAGCTGGGCATTTCAAAATAAGGACATTATCACTAACTGGGTGAGTGAAGTGGCGTAGAGAGAAGGGACATGATAGGCAAAATCAGGCCATACAGCCTGCTGGTTCCAGAGAAGAAAGATTCCCACTGCTACCATTACAATATTCTTAGACCTCATAGCAACCCATGGGAGCTCACTTTTCTGGTCTTAAATGCAGGTAATCAATGCCACAGCCAAATAATGGGGCCTAAGACCAAGGAGAAAAATGTTCCCCACCTCTCCCCTCCAGGGCTGCCAATAGCTGGGAGCTCTTTCCCTTGTTCACCCTGCTCAGATCCAAAGCTGACATGTCTTTCTTCTGCTGTTACCAATGTCTCTTGCTGAAGTTTCTTCTCACCTCATGTTTTGGGACTTTTACTCTACCTCCTTTTATTCACGGTCAACTTTAGATAGAATTTCTCAGAACCATCGTAAGTTTCTAAGAAATGTTTTATTGTTAAGAAATTGGGTTTATCCAGGTGCTGGTGGCTCACGCCTGTAATCCTACTCAAGAGGCTGAGATCTGAGGATCGCGGTTCAAAGCCAGCCCAGGCAGAAGAGACTGTGAGACTCCTATCTCCAATAAACCACCAGAAAGCCAGAAGTGGCTCTGTAGCTCAAGTGGTAGAGCGCTCGTCTTGAGCTGAAGAGCTGAGGGACAGCGCCCAGGCCCAGAGTTCAAGCCCCACGACTGACCAAAAAAGAAAAAAAGAAATTGGGTTTAGATCACCTGACAACTTTATATCATAACTTCAGAAACGTGTAGGTAAGTCTTAGATGAGAGGACACTGGAACAAACTTTACCTAGAGGGGCGGGGCATGACTATTAGTGAGCACCAGGCTGTGGCTGATATTCCATAGCAGCACTTGCCTACAGTAACATTTAATTGATTACTTCTGGAAAACAAGTTACCACACTAAACACTAAGAACAGAAGAACACCCAAAAGCAATGGCCATGAGACAATAAAAGTACAAAGTAAAACTGTTTTAGTCAAGAATGATTCCTGGCAACCTCAAGAAGTGTCTCAAGGATGGCTCGTGTCTCTGCCCAGCATCCCCACGCCGGCGGAGGACAAGCCTGGAACTAACGGGATAAGGGAGAGCAGCATGGACTTGAGAAGCAAGTCATCAAGACATAGCAAGCTTAACTAGCTTGCTCAAACCCTGTGACTCAAGACAAACAGCCATCTCCATCTGGTAGGATGACTTCCACAGTATCACAGCTGAGCACCACTTCACACCCTGGAGTCACCTACAGTCAATTTTCTTTTCCTGTGTGATCAACCATAATAAAACTATTAGGAAATCTGAAATAGGATGGAAGGAAGGTGGAAGATAGGCAAAAACATTACCCAAAGTTTCTGGAATGTTCCTCCTCTCTCTAGTTACATCTGAGAGCCTAATAATTGTTCCTTCTTTTCTTTCAGTTTTAAAACGTAATCGACCAGATTCTTCATCATCATCATCTTCTTCATCTGACTCTTCTTTAATATCCTTCTGCAGTTCCAGGGTTTCCATACCTCCCTATATGGCAGATACAAAGCAAACAGGGAGAAAATATTGAGTTCATATTCACTCATTTAATACTAGATATGCTAAAATTGTTTTAAGCTTTAAGATGTAAAGATGCTTCCAAATGTCCTAGTATAAGATCATGTGAAATGCTAGGCTAACCCTAAAAAAACACAAGTATTAGAATTAATGTTGGAAAAAGCATAAAGTCATGTTAACATCCAATGTTCTATACATTCCTGTTAAACTTCTTAGGGTCATTTCCAACTATTCCTATGGGTCCTGAGTCCTAATCCACATCATGGCACATCAAGCTGAATGTAACATAAGCCAAATTAATATTTATGAATTCCACACCAGTTAGATCAACACGAATCTTCTAGAGTGTGAGCCGCATGATAACCTGTGTTAGATGGCATATCCTTCCAGCCACATGGGCTCCACAGTTCAATTCTTGGCCCTTATAAGAAAGCAGTCCAAACCAGCTATCGAGGTTGCTGCTGCTCTACCCTTCAGGGTCTGTCTTTATCATTCACCACCTCCTTCCTTATTCACCTCATTTAGTTCTAGAGTTAACTTACCAATACTTACGTTGTGTCACTTCTTCACACTAAAACCAAATTTCATTACATCAAGTGTTTGCCACAAAAAATTCCCTCTAATCTCATCCTAAACTAGCTTCTTTAGACAATTCTGGCTGTCAAGCGTGAGAGTCTGTGAACTTCCCTCCGAGTTTTGTCAGCTAGAAGATAGGTGCATACAGAATGTGAGATTCTTTAATCACTTTTTCAATATAGCTTCGTTTATTTTTTGTTGCTTTTTTTTAACTCAGGGATTTGTACTTGCTAGGCTCAAGTTCAATCACTTGAGCCATGCACCTAATCCTTAACTACTTCATGAATTTAATGAAAACAGAATTTGCCTTTCTATCCTTGTGATTTATAATTCAAAAATATCATTTACCTTTAGTAGAAATTTATAAGTGCCCAATAAATTTTAAAATAACCCCATAATGCAATCATTCTATATTCTTCCTTTCCTCAATATTTTTCACTGTAAAAAGAAAAACCACAAATGAAGTCTCTATGACAAACACAACAAGTGGAAACACATCTTCAGGAACTCAAATGCCTAAAAAGAGAAAGACAAAGGATAAACCAATTTCACTGTAGCCTATATAATTTTGTTTGTAGCTACAATGTTACCATTCAGCTCTGAGGTTCAGTCTGCTGGAAAATGCTAGAGCATGAGCATCTCCAACTCTTGTTGTGAAATATTGATTTCTGTTTCCTGGGCATCTGAAATCAGAGTGTGTGGTGGCTGTTAAGACCATTGTTGAGGTCCAGACTCTAGTATAGTCTCTGCTACCTCCAGATGCTACAGACAGTGCTGCCTCAGATCACTGTATACCAGTCACTAAAATGTTCAAAGCAGATTCTGATGTGGGCAGTCCTAGGGTGGAACCTGAAATTCTGCATTTCTCACGAGTTCTCAGGGGAACCAATGCTCAGGACTATAGATGACACAGAATAGTAAGGCCACAGAGGAGAAAAATTACCATCGTCAAAGCAAAGAGACTATTACAGCCACCCTGGAAATTCAAGTAATTGTGATTGCAGCTCCAAGACTTTACAAACAAATCCAAAAGCAGTGACTAGACAGAGTTTGTAAAGGTGAGGTGGCCCCAGCACCTCAGCTCTGTAGTGGCACTTGGGCTAGATGGCATAGACTGCACCAAGGAAAGTCCATCCTGAAGAAGCAGGGTGCTGGGGCCTTGTGCAACCGTCTGCTCAGGAAATCCAAAAGAAGGTACTGAACAGGTTGTGGGTGCCATGATACACCAAACCATAACTTCACCAAGGAAAACATGGAAACATTCAAGGCCCTTTGAGTGACCTTGCAGATCCACAGTGGCCAGGACAACACAGATGCCACGCTGCTGCAAGCCTCCCTATGCGGCTGTACAACAGGGCTCCGACCATCTGCCTAGTCCTCACTGTGAAGCAACAAAACATTGCTTACCAGACTCCACAAGTACAGACTGGGGGCAGATATGAGGGGGCAGCCTCAGAAGACCAAACTCATGGGGAGAGGCCTTGTCAGCTTTAGTACCATGGGCCAGGTATTCGCATTCAACAATGCATTTTATGATCCCTACTTGCCGGGCGAGACAGAACAGTCTCTGGACATGAGAGGGTCTACACCCTACAGACCTTCTCTATCAGTGACTATGTAACCCTGGATATCAAACTCAACAAACATAACCACCACTCTACTAGCAACTTGCCTCAAACAGATGAAGCAAGAGGCATTCCTGATGAATTTAGGAGGAAGCCTTAGCCCAGGCCCCCAAAAAGGGTGGGATTTGAGGGGCAGCTTTTGTCATTCATGAAGGACACTTTAGCTTTGTTCAGGGTCCACTGAAAGATCCACCAAATTTCATCTGTACTCCCGACATGGCCCAGAGTGGTGAAGCAACCTCATGAGAGAGGAGGGAGGCGGCTGCCATGGAGACCAGCCGAGCAGTCTCAGGTCAATCCCAGAAAGCTTAAAAAACTTGGTAAACAAAGAGCTCTGTTTGTTTTAATCACATCAGCTCCCTGGTAATGAACAGCCAGCGATCTGATCCATAAGGAGGTCCCAGGTGCCACCCACATGCAGGTGTCCTGAGGAGTCCCTGCAGCCCCAGAAGCACTGGCCTCGTAGGCATCCCAGTGAGTCATGCCCCGCCCCTCCCAAACAGGCCACAAACACACAGAGGTAATCAGAAGAACCCCAATGAGCACGAGCAGAGAGTGATGAGAAGTAATCACTCAGATAAACCTGGGACCAAGAGAGGAAATATGGATAAACCAAGAGAAAGAGTTTGAGTCTTTTTCATTGATCTCGGACATATACATTATTGATGCTGTAGTGTCAAGATTAGAAGAGCTAGAAAACTGAAGGTGTAGTCTGCTTATGAAAGCATTAAAAGTCTAGGACAAGAACTACCACACACTAACTTCTGTTACTATGTGTTACATTTTCATCTGTGCCTGAAATCACAAGTAGAGACCTTTCCTCCATCAATGTTTTGGTCACAGCAGGTCCTGAGCATCTTGCTCTAGAATTGCTGCATCATGAGTTCCAAAAATAATTTCCACCAAAATAAAAAATACTGAGCTAGGTGACAGTGATCAGGCCTGTAATCTTAGCTACTCCGAGGCTGAGATTCAAGAATCAATAGTTCAAAGCCAGCCTGAGCAGGAAAATCTTGACATTCTTATCTTCAATTAACCACCAAAAACATCGAAGTGGAACTGTGGCTCAAGTGGTAGAGCAATAGTCTTGAGCACAAAAGCCTAGAGACAGCGACCAGACCTTGAGTTTAATAAGCCCAGCACAAAAAGGCAAGAAAAAAATGTCCCCACCTTATAACTCTAGTTCTGAGCAGAAGTGTCTCTTTCACATCTGAACCGCTACATACTGCGCAGGAAGGTTGTTGTAAATTCACTAATTACCTCTGATGAGGCAAAAAAGAAAAATATTAAGTTTCATAAGCTGTTTTTACTCAAAAATACTTTCTCAGTTTCAGATCTTCAGCAGTTTATTGAATACAAAGTCTTTGAACCATAAGCATTCCTTCAGTTCTCAGGAAACTTTTTATTGTTACTTGTCAGACTATCTATGAACAAACCCACTTTTTTAGACACTGATAAGTTATTTTATACATGTGAAGTGTTATTAAATGTGATTGATTTTTTACAAATCATATTAAATTCTCATCAATTATTTACATCTTCTATTCATAGTCTTGTGAATCATTGCCTTTTTGTTTTAAAAGATGGCCTATTTTGAACCTTTGTACAATATGATACATTCTTGGTTCTGTGACAAAATTATAAACTATCCCAAACAGAAGAATAGTAGCTATCAGAAGTATTTTGCATCTTAATGTGAGTTATTGTTATTGTATTTGTTTATTATAAAGGTAGGCATTTAGTGTTCAGTGCAGTTTTCAATAAAATTAAAATGTTAGAAAAGCACTTGGAATTCAGCAAAATAGAAAATAAGATAATACATCACAACCAATTAGAATTCATATAAACACAAGCTTGATCTAACATTCAAAACTTTCCCCCCTTTCTTGGAGATGCTGGAGTTCGAATTTAAGACCACATGCTTGCTAAGCTTGCACTCTACCACTTGAGCCTCTAGCCCTGCTGCTGTACTGGTTATTTTGGAGATAAGAAGGGTGAACTCTGGGGGGCATGGGGGAGGAAGGATGGGAAGGGATGGGAAAGGGAAACAAAGGAGGAAGCTACAATGCTTGATAAAAAAAAATGTACTCATTATCTCTCCCATGTAATTGTAACCCCTCTGTACAGTATTTTCACAATTAAAAAAAAAAAAAAGAAAAAAGAAAAAAAAAGAGTGGTGAACTTTTCTGCCCAGGCTGGCCTCAAACCATGACCATCCAGATCTTAGCATCCCAAGTAGTTGGGATTATAGGTGTGAACTACTGACACCTGGTGACAGGTCTTATCTAGGAAAGAACTCCAAATCTATGAAGATGATCCTTTTCCTTCTCCAAAAACTGAAGTTTAAGTTCCCAGTCTTCCCCCTTACTTTGAAGGGTTGCCCAGAACTGCTTCCAAATAGATAAGGGGAAGAAGAAAAAAGAAGAGAAAAGAAAAAAAGGAGAAAAGGAAAAAGAAAAGAAAAAGTATGCAGTGGCAGACACGGGCTTGCCCAAGTGATGAAGATGCAGCCACCACCAGTAAAGTCATCTCTGTATCCCACAGTGACGTCCTAGATGCCACCATGTGCCTACTGCCACAAACCTAAGAAAAGAGTATGTCAGCTCTGCAGTACCTACTCTTCATGAGCCCTAACTTCAGTCAAATCCTTAGAGCCACACTGCAAGATATTCTACCAGATACCTGGCTCACACTTCAGAGTGTTAAGGTAATGAAACACAAAGAAAAATCTGACACACCCATACCACAGAGAACAAAGGGGACACATGACAA